GACCACGGCACGACGCTCGGGCAGCTACGCCTGTTCTGGTGAGTTCGAAGGCGCGTTCTCGACGCGCCCGTAGCTGATACTCAGCAAGATTGCCAGCATCGACGAGGTCCACTCCGTCGGTTCGGATCGCGGCGCCGTCCTCGAAGCCGTCGTCAGCCGCATGAAGACTCTCGGGACCAGTACTCGCTTCGTGGCCGTCTCGGCAACGGTACCCAACATCGCGGACGTCGCAGAATGGCTCGGTAAGCTCACGCGCCGCTACTGACGGGGCGAGCGACGCACTCACTGATCGTCCACAGGCTCGGGATCCGAAGGAGGCAAGCCGGCCAAGGTCTTCCAGTTTGGCGACGATTTCCGCCCGTGCAAGCTTCAAAAGTCCGTGGTCGGTCCTGCAAGTCTTGCGACCTAGCGTTGACGCCTCCGGGTCACAGGATCGTCGTGGATTACCCGAGGGGCTCGAACGACTTTGCTTTCGCCGTCTCGCTCAATTTCAAGCTGTACGACCTCATCAAACAGTACTCTTCCGGAAAGCCGTGAGTTACCTCGCACCTGCAAGCCGTAGAACGCCTATAAAAGCTGAGCTCGGTATCTGTGACAGCGTCCTCGTCTTCTGCAACACTCGCAAAGGATGCACGCAGGCCGCCGAAGCGCTCCTCAAGGCGTACAAAGAGTCCGCTGCCGCTGCGACCGGCCGGGCCGCGCTCGCTTGGCCGAAGCCCGTTCGGCACGACTACAAGACTGCAGACAAGTCTCTCTCGGCGCTGCTCGAGTATGGCATAGCCGTCCACCACGCAGGCATGGAAGTCAACGACCGCAAGCTCGTAGAGCGGCTGTTCACGGATGGAGGTATCAGTATCGTCTGTGCGTCGCTTCGACTGTTGATACTCCACCTCCGCCCTCAGCTTGGCACTGACTACCCTTGATTCGCAGGCTCGACGTCTACGCTCGCAGTCGGCGTCAACCTTCCGGCTCGCATGGTCAGTCGTTCGAGGCGAGATCTTTCTGTATCCGAGCTCACTCTCCCACGCTCGTAGGTCATTATCAAGGGGACGAAAGCCTTCATCGATGGTCAGATGCGCGATTACACCGACCTCGACATCTTGCAGATGATCGGACGTGCCGGTCGGCCCCAGTTCGACACGCTCGGAATCGGTCCGTCTGCCTGACTGCGCGCAGCTTCCACGCATACTGACTGGCAGATACTTTTCCAAACAGCGGTCATCATGACCGAGAAGGGCAGCGAAGGGAAGTACAGCGACCTCGTCAACGCGCAGGTACGCCTACGAGCTCTTGCAGTCTTTTCGGATCTCGGGCTCTGACTGAGAGGCACGATCTTCTCGCAGACTAGCCTCGAGAGCTGGTGAGAGTCTCTCTCGCTGTTTGTAGTTGACTCACCGCACTGACAGCGGAACGGATAGTCTCCACATGAGTCTCACCGAACACGTCAACTCCGAAATTGCGCTCGGCAGTGAGTTCTCTTACTCCGCATGTGCGCCCAACACAATATCGGACAGGCCAACGCTAACACCGCGGCTCCCAGCGATTGACGGCATCCCTTCTGCTCTGCACTGGCTGCGATCAACCTTCCTATTCGTCCGCATCACGAAGAACTGCGCGTACTACGGCTTGGGCATGGACGGCACCTCTCCCGAAGAGAGACTCGAGGAGATCTGCCTGTCGGCGGTGAATGAGCTCGTGCGGAGCGGTGTTGTCGAGCGTGACGGGGACAAGCTCGCCGGGAACCGTGCGTTTCGATCGACTTACCCGGGTCAGATGTGACTCCGAGCTGACAGCTGCCTTCGCCTGCAGAGTTCGGCGACGTAAGCGCGCCTCCGGAGTGGCGACCTTTGGCTCGCAGCCGCTGAGACTGCTTGTCTCGCGCAGATCATGTCCAAATTTTACCTCTCTCACCAGACCTTCCTGGCCATCAAAACACTTCCGACGAAGAGCACGATGCGAGCTCTGCTCGAGGTGATAGCAGGCTCGACAGAGCTGAGCTCGTATCGATTCCGTCAAGGCGAGAAAAGCGTGAGCAGAGCACGATGATCAGCCGCGCCACGACCACGAGGCAAGCTGACGAGTCGCGCTCCGACAGGTCTTCGTAAAGCTGAACAAGGTGAGTCCTGTTCACACGCGAAGCAGAGGATCAGCGACTGAGGCTTTCTGTCAGAACCTCAAATTTCCGGCCGGGAAAGTGGCTAGCACCGCCGACCGAGTAAGCCATTGCGGTCGAGCACAGCTCCCGCATTGTCGATGCTGATCCACACGAGCTACAGGTCATGATTCTCCTCCAGCTCGTGCTGGACGGTGTTCCGGGAACCGAGCTGAAGACGGACAACATCAACCCGATGCTGGACGCACGGGCCATCTTCGTCGCAGCGACGAGGATCGCGAAGTGTACGCATCGGTTCCGCAACCTCGCAGTGCAATCCAATGAACGGGACTGATGGATGCTTTGCAGGCATGGTCGACGTCGCTGTCGAACGAGAAGACGGCGGGCTCCGGATTATGCTTGAGCTGTTCGTCCCCTTTTCCGGACGGTACTGTAAGGAGCACCCGTCTGAGCGCCCAGCTGAGCGCCTCTCCGCTCGCAGGTTGCGCTCGCTGAACGGACGGTGTTGGGACTCGTCTTCGCTTGTCTTGCGTCAACTCGAGGGTATCGGAGAGAAAGGTATGTGTGCGTTGAGGCGGTCGAGAGATGCAGTGCACTCACCACTATCTGTTCGCAGGGCACAAGGTTCTCGCCGCCAGCGGAATTCGTACCTTTGACGATGTCCGCAACGCTGACGCGGACCGGCTGCAAGTCATATTGAGTCGGTGAGTCTGCGGATGCACCTCCTGCGGACGATCACTGAAAGTCATGCCTTCCGGATCTCGCAGCAAGCCGCCATTCGGGCACAAGCTCATCTCGCAGGCGAAATCGATCCCGCAGTTCGAAGTCGAGGTCCTCTCGACCGAGGAGAGCCCCCGCCCCGGGGAGGGGGTCCAACTGGACGTCACGCTCGCACTCCGGCTGAAGCAGAGCAAGCCTCTTCCCGTGACGAAGAGAGGCGGGATCAAGCTGTGGGCGACCGTGGCGACCACTACGACCGACAGCGAACTCGTCGAGTGAGCAGAGGCCCGACACACGGTCTCAAGCGTTCTCGTAGCTAACGCTTGGCTTGAGCAGCTTTCGGCGCGCTCGACTCGATCAGCTCCTCGCTCAAGCTAAGGAGTTTAGCATCGCCGTCATCCTGGTCAAGCCTTCTCAAAAAGTCGTCGTCTCCGTGTCGTGTGACTCGATCGGTGAGCGGGTCAGGCCACGATCTGCCTCAAGCGAGCGCTGAGTCAGTTGCGCCGTACAGCCGGCTCAGAAGTAAGCGTGACGGTCCGACCAAAGACCCAGGCTTCAAAGTTCCCGCTTCCCAGTAAGTCGCAGCATGCGGAGCGAGCGCCGACGCAGAGGAGCACTCAGCGTTGACCTCCCATGCGCAGGTCTTGGCGGCGTCGACTCGGACTCGGATGTGCATGCGTCGGAAAAGGTCGCTCCCGTACGTGTCTCTCGCTTCCCCCGAGTGATGAGGGAGCTCTCTCACCTTGACTCCATTTCGGCAGGTTCCGGTGGCAGCATCCGCGGCTACGATCCGATCATCCGTCGCGGCCGGGTCGACTACCGGTAACTTTCAGGCTGACCCCCTTTGACCAAGCGGAGCGACTGAATTGAGATCCGGCGTTGTCAGCAGTCAAACTTGCCGGGAAGAGCGTCCCGCCGCCGACTCGACGTCGCGACGACGGGAAGTACGACTGCAACCACGCCTGCGGCGACAAGACGAAATGCAAGCATCTCTGGTGCGCGAAGTCCAAAATAAGCGTCGATGTCAATCGTCCGCTCATATCATACTCCTCGCAGCTGCCGCGAAGGGCTCGACAAGCCACCTGCAGCGCGCAAACGCCAGCCCAAGGCTGTGCTGCCAGTTGACGGTTCCGAGACTGCCGAAAAGCAGCCACGCCAGCCGAAGCGCCTGAAGCCGCTCGAGAGCGACGGGGTACGCCTGTCCTTCGGGGAAGACGGCAAAGCCAAGACCAAGGAGCTCGAGCCGGACTCTAGCGAGGACGAAGATGCGTCGGACACGTCGTCACTCAGCCCGGAAGGCTACATTCCTCTTCGCGCTCCAGGGCCAGGAAAACCGCCACGCGGCGAGACGGGCGCAAAGGACAGGAACCAGCTCAACACCGACATTTTCGCCTCGCCGTCTCCGTCTCCGTCTCCGTCTCGGCCCGTACCAGCGAAGACAGGTTCAAAGGCGTCGAGCGATCAAGTTCGCCAAAACGCTGAAAAGGCGCCTCGAGTCGTGCAATCGGTCGGCAGCGCCCCTTCGACGGGCGCGAGCTTCCGTCCACCAAACCTCCGCCTCCGCACCACCGATGGCTCGCCGTCTCCGAAGCGCAGGCGTCTCTCGCTTCGCGATTTCGCTTCCAGCTCGCCCGAAGCAGAATCCGCTGCCGGTGTCAAGAAGAAGGCCGCGGTCCCGCCGCCTACGACCGAGAAGTCCGGCGCGCTGTTCCGATCTCAAGACTCGTACACCGGCGTCACCGATTGCTTTGACGGTGACGAAAGCGCGGGCTCCGATATCCTCGGAGGCCCCGTGGTTACCCGCCCAGCGTGTAGCGCGCACACCTCCAGCACTGCCGCGACGACTATCATCTCGAGGTCCGGGCCTGAACGAGATGTCACCCCGGCCGACGGCCCGATCGAGGTGACTTCGCATGCTGTACAAGCGCTATCGCCGGCGAGCGCGGCGAGCGAGGACGATGACGACTTTGACGCGTGGCTCGAGTCGAGCGTGGTTGTAGTTTGAAGCTTGTCGACTTTGCATCGCCGTGTCGTTCTTTCCCTCTCTCCGTCGCGCGGTTCTGGACGCCGGCGGCGACGGCCAAAAGAAGAGAGTGCCGACTCGTGCATCAGCGTTCAGACCCGACAATGGGTCATGGCGCAACGGCCAAAAGAAAGTACCGACCAGAGCAGGATTTGAACCTGCGCAGGCAAAGCCTAATAGATGGCGAACTTGATTCGAGTCTATCCCCTTAGACCGCTCGGGCATCTGGCCGTTTTCATAAAAGTCCAGTCTAGCTTGACATATAATATACACAAAGCTTCTTTGACCTCAGCTGGTCGTGCCGGAAGCTGTTCGCGGCGTTCCCAACACCATGGCAGTCCTGTCCTGGGATGCACCGACGAGTACAAGCGGAACAGACTGTACAGGAAGACCATGACTTGGTGGCGCAGTGCGCAGCCGAATTGGCACGAGTATCCTGCTGCACTTCCGTTGCACTCCTTGCTTTTCGACACAGCATGCTGTCGCACTTCTCCATAGCGATCGACCATAAAGGTGCGAAGAACCGAACGCGGGCAGCTTTGGCTCGGCGCAGCGCAAGCGCAAGCATGTTGACCTTGGGAAGGCCCGCCACCGCCGCCCGTCAGTCATCTTTCGCTGGTTACAGGCAAGCCTGGCACACTGGCACGGGCATGTCGACACGCAAAAGTAAGGGGCCGTGTAGACCTGAAATACGTACGTACTTTCTACAGCCTGGCTGCGCCCTGGCAGCACGCTTGCAACAGCAAGAAGTTCCCGAAGGCGAGCACAGTAAGGTGGCCTCTATACGCAAGGCTGCTTCACGAAGGCCTCCTTTTCCCGGGGAGCCGTGTCGTACACTTGACCAGCAGGCCAACGCCACTTACCAGCTGCGCGGCAGCCGACTTCGGACGGCTCGACGAGCGAAAGTGATCGGAGGCAATTTCTTACGTCATTGTCTGCGGCGGATTACCCCTGTCTGATGAGCTGCTTGTGGCGCTGATCGACAAGCCTTGCTTGCGCAAATTGTCTCGCCGTCGTCCGACCCTCCTCTCACTTCTTCCACGCAATTGCATCCGCACACACTCGAACCTTCCCCCCTCGTCTACAGTTCCTCCTCCCAAGCATCAATCACCCTACAGCCAAGATGGTCTCTGGTGCGCTGACTCTCTTTCCCTTCTCCACCAATCGCCAAGGCTTCCAGTCCAACTCTCGAGAGGATGAAGCAAAGGCTAATCGTCATGCCTGTACAGAGCGCTTCGTCCGATTCACCATGGCGCCCGTTGCCCTCCTCACCTTCCTCACGTCGGTGGTTGTGATGGCTATCGCTGCCTCGCTCGAGCACCGGTGGAAGAACGTTGGTTTCCCGAACAACTCGTACCGCGACCGCGAGCGACTCTTGCTTGTTGCCGGTATCTGGGGCATCATCGTTTCGCGTGAGTTCATCTTCCTCTGGCAATGTGCTCGGCGGGAGGGAGACGCAGTCATCCGAGACCTGCGGGGAATTGCCTCAAGGAGGAACTCTGTACTTACAGCCGTCCGCGCGCAGTCTACTCCCTCATTGGAGTCCTTGTCCGGCCTACGTCCCGCGCATTCGGCGTTCTCGTTCACCTGATCTTCTATGCGATCGCCTTCGTAAGCCCAGCTGCGACGGAGAAATCGTGATGCGGCCTTCAGCTGACGCACTTCCGACCCCAGTTCCTCTACCTGTGCGGTGCTGCGTCGTTGACCGCGCTCACCAACTCGATCGACTGCGGTAACGTCACCTGGTCCCGCTGCAACGTTGTCAAGGGCGGTCTTGTCTCGACCGGGTAAGTTCCTTCGCGCCCATGGTGAAACAACTTATACTGACACATTGCGTAATCATGCAGCTGGATCGGCACCATATTCACCTTCATCATGCTCCTGATCGCCATCTTCCTTGGCGTCAAGGCTCGCTCCGGGGTCGGCGCCCGCAAGGCTGCTCTTACCGAGGCTTAAATTCAGTCGCGTAATCGTTCCTCTTCCTTTCCCCTCAGCATATAAGCATTTACATAGGATACCTCTCGTACTCAAGCAGACTTAGCTGCCTAATTGCAAATCACACCATACGTCTTTGAAAGTGGCGGGCACTCGAATAGAAGTCCGGCATTCACGCTCGCTTCACCTTGCCCACTCGGTCGGCTCCGAGCGACCTGGAGAGCAAGAACCAGACGATCGGTCTTGGGATGCGCTCTAGGATCCAGAAAAGCAGCGCCTTCCCGCCGGCGGAATAATAGCGTGCCGGTCGAGAGCGCAACGCGCGCGCAACAATGCCGTGCGCAAGCTTTGAGGCCGGCATCGTGTGGTCTGTGAGCAGTCCGATCAATGGCCGGTCGTCTGCTCCGGGGGAGAGAGAGCATAACTACCAGCTCGCTGTGACATGTTCGACCGCTCGGCGATGCGTTCGGCCACATCCCTGTAGAAGGAGTCTGAACCGGCGACGGCGCGTGTGAGCTCGGGCGCTGAAGTGCGCGCGGTCGGTGGAAGGCAAGTACGGATCGCTCACCAGCTGGCAGCTTGATCGAAGCCGACTGCTTCTTCCCGAATTGACTCGTGATTGCGCCGGGCGCAACGAGCATGACGTCGAGACCGAATCCGGCGACTTCCATGCGCAAAGTCTCTGTCGCAGAGTGTAGTGCGGCTTTGCTGGCAGAGTCTGCACAGGGGGAGAGTTTCAGTACCGTTGCTAATGAGCGCGAGCGTCCTTGGACATAGCCGCTCGATCAGGCCACTTCGGCCACACTCACAGATACCACTCCAAGGAGTGGCAATGTTGCCTGTACGTATTGAAAAGGTCAATTGCTGGAACCGAGGGGACAGGAATGCTGGACACACCGACGATACTTCCGATGTTGACGATGAGCCCTGACCTGCGCTCGATCATGTGCCGGGCGACAAGTTTACTCATGCGCAACGGCGCCCAGAAGTTGATTTCAAACTGCACATAGACCTGCATGAGCACTCCGTCCCTGCAGCGCCAGCGCTGAGGCAACTTACCGTGGCTTTGCCACCCTCCTCGGTCTCGACATCTGCATCGAGGAGCGCTCCGGCTCCTCCAGCGCCGGCATTGTTGACGAGGACGTCGATGCGTCCCTGCTCCTTGATGATCCGCTGGACTGCGGCTGTGCACGATTCGAGCGAGCCAACATCGAGTTCCAGCCGGTTGATCCCGAGAGACAGCGTCTCGAGCGAGGCAAGTCGGCGCGCCGAAGCATAGACAATGCAGCCCCTCGCTGCGAATTCTTCGCACAAGGCATACCTGGCGGAGGAATCGTTAGAACCGTGCTCGCTGAAGTTCGGAGTTCCTGTCGAGGTGGGGAACCCACCCAATCCCGCCGGCGCTGGACCCGGTTACCAGAACGACCTTTGCATGCGAAGCGCTTGTCATCTCGTGGGCTACTGCAGGCCTTAGAGAAAGCCTGATGCAGAGTTGAGTGAGAATGGGAGCCGCAACGTTTTTCGGACTCCGCGATTCGGCTTCCGGCCCTCTTGTTGCCCGGACGATGGAGATGCGCAAGCTATGGGATTTTCAGGTCGCGTCGCGGAGAACGGGACGTTGTCCAAACAAGAGCAATATCGTATGCGCAGGTACCAGAGAGCTACATATGCGGAGAGCGACCCTAGCTAGTCCACGTCCTCGGTCTTGACCCGAACGTCGTCCATCGCGGCGTCTTCGCTCGGGTCGTCTTCGACAGCCCTGGAGCCGTCGTCTTCGAGCGTCATCGCCGACGTCGACGCTTGCGCGTGCAGATCGCGCGAGTTGTTGACCCGGCGAACGGCTCGCGTCGCCGACGACGACCTGGACGGCGTGCCAGAGCCTTCGGCCAGATCCGACGAGTCACGGCGAGCGGCGAACGCTGACGCTGGAAGCCGTGGCGCTGGCGGCGCTTGCTCGGGTCGATCGGTCGGGGTCGACTGGTCCGACGCCGCACGGCCGGGATCGCGCCGCCTGCGCTGCTGTTCGACGAGACGCGCCGCAGCGAGGAACCGGTGTCCGTCATCGCTCTCTTCGGCCTTGATCGACGGCGACGACGTTTCGGGCGGGACAGGGTCGACAGAACCGAAATCGATGACCTCGTATTCGCTTCGGCCGTTCCTCGAAACGGCGGCAACGGCGAAGCGCTCGTCGGCCGCGACTTGCCAGACGCCCGTCAGCTCGGAGACTAGATCACGCACGAATGCGCCAGTACGGATGTCCCACAGCTTGACCGTCCCGTCCGAGCCGCTGATGACTTTGTGCTCGTCGTGCACGAAGCAAGTGATGGCACCTTGATGCGCCTGCAGCGTATGACGGCACTCGCCCGTGTCCGGATCCCAGACGCGGAGGGTGAAGTCGGCTGCGGCCGACACCAAGTTGCGGTGCGAAAGGCCGAGAAGGCCGACGAGCGAAGTGTGGCCCTCGAGTTTGGCTCGGCATTCGCCCGTCTCGGTGTCCCAGAGGCGCAGCGTGAAGTCCATCGAACCGGAGGCGCACTGTTTCCGGATCGGATCGTAGACGACCGAGTAAACCTTCTGCGTGTGGCCCTTGAGGACGTGACGGCAGCGCCCGGTGATCGTGTCCCAGACGCGGACGGTCATGTCGTACGACCCCGAGCACAATGTCCGGCCGTGAGCGGAGAGCGCGCGGACTGCCAAGTCGTGACCGGAAAGGTGCAGCAGGTGGTACGGGTTGCTGTCAACGTCGATCGCCTCGGTCGAATCAGGATCGACCCGGGGTCCTTTGTAGTCGGGATCGCGATCAGGCATCGGCAATTTCCACACGCGCAACGACCAATCTCGCGAACCCGTCACGATGAGCGGGTACTCCGGTTCCCAGATCGGCTCGCCGGCCGGGTCGGGATTGATATTCACAGGCTCGACCACCTGCAGGCACCGGACGGTCGACCGGTGACCGACAAAGATGTGGCTGCAGCGCCCGGTCTTGAGGTTCCAGAGGCGAACGGTCTTGTCGGTCGAGCCCGTCACGAGGTAGTCGCCAAGGAGCTGCATCGCCCACACACCGCCTTCGTTCGTCAGGGAAGCGCGGCACTGGCCCGTACGCATGTCGTAAACGTTGAGTACGCTATCGTCCGACGCCGAGATGAGCTTCTCGTGGTCGAACTGGATGCAAGTGACGACGTGCTGGTGGGGCTGCTGTTGAGCGTTGCCGCCTTGTGCCACAGGCGGGGCGACGGGCACTCCCGAGTCAAAGACCAGGCGATTCGGCGTGCCCGTGTTCCAGTTCCGTC